ATTACCGCAAATTATGCTTCTAACAACGTATATTTTCCATATTTTGTAGTCTGGACCCAAATATAGAAGGAAACTGGTCGACATTTATACTACATTTGCTGCTACAATATCTTGCTTCTTGCATCCAATTCAACAACATTCCTTTTTACAGCAAATTAAAATTGACTGAGATATGCTAACAGATGTCTTGAAGTGTTCAAAAACAAAAAAAACCAAACTGTTTAATAATCGTTATACTGCGCAAAAACTATGCAATTACAGTTGCTTAAACCTATCTTTTCCTCCCTTATGTAAAACTGGTCTTCCTATCAACCTTTGTAATGAGTGCTTTTTTCTTCTTGTATTTTCTAATGCTCCTTAATTTACCGACAATTTTTTTTCAAAACGTTGTCAAATAGAATTGTGCTAGAAGAAATACGATAATACATTAATTGAATATTACCGATAGAAAAGATTTCAACTGTTATAACCCGTTTACCCGAGTAAACAACTAAATTACAATACCCGAATATGAACCTTCCAAAAAAAAAAAAATAATAGCTTTTGTTAATTACGCTTTTGAACATCACATAAAACTAATCTTATTCAACAGATAAAAACCAGTTGGTAAGATAGACAGTAAATTGAGAAAATTAGCGTAAGGTTGAAGAAAGAAGTGCAAGAAAATAGCAAAAAAAAAAAAAAAAAAGGCAATTTTGTTTGACAACTCCAAACAACAGTTCGGTGATGATTGCCAAAAAAAAAGGCTCTTTGTTTAACACCACTTATAAAGGCACATAAACTTGCGAAATTCTCATTCCTCGATGACATCGCAAAATTTTACTCACTTATCTTTTGAAATAAAACTGGAAAAAAAAAAAAAAAAAACAGCAGAAACAACAACATAATAAGACTAAATACAAAAACTGATAAACTCCATTTGGTGGAAAAAAACAATGGTTCAAAAGAAAAATAAACAAAATGAATTTTTCCTTTTCCTTATTTTTTTGCAAAGAAATGCAAAGTTTTCCAACCATCTCAAAAAAAGCACCAAAAATGGCTTGTTCGAAATTATAAAAAAAGAAAATCAGTGGGGAAAAAATGATCATGACATTTGTGGCTTTCAGTTCACAGTTTAAATATTTATTTATTTTCTTGTCTTCTCCAAGCTCTTCTCAAAAATTGACTAAGCGCTAAATCTCAAAGTACAACAACAACAAAAACAGCAACCTAACTAGCCCACCAGCTAGTGCACAGACTAAATCCTTCCTTTCTTCTTGCTATTTTACTTAGTCAGATTCGAATTGTGGATGTTTCATCTTTATTCTCCTCAGCTTCTTCATTTTCCTTTGCTCCAACTAACAGCTACCACAGCGGCACCCCTTATGCATTAAACATTAATATTATAATTCTTCAAATTTACGTCGTCTTTCCTTAGACACCCTATTATCTCCATTATCCGTACTCTGAACGTCTATCAAACACATCCTTCCAAAACCCCTCAAATCACCTGCTTAATGACCAGTAGCAAAAATTTTAGATAAATAAAGCAAGAGAAGAAAAGAGAAAAAGAAAAGATTATGGGTAGGTAATTTGAAGAAACCTTTCATTTCCTATAATCCTT